TTTTTTTACCTATTTTAAAAGATAAATTACATGCATCACCTGATTAAACAAAGGACAAGTTCCATTGCATCCTTACTAAAGAATTTATTTACATTACACAATTAAAAAAAGTAGGCCATGAGATAAGAAACAAATTTGGACAAATCCATTATTAAAAGGATGCTTTCTTTAATATACATCAGCTGGTTTTTTGTGATAACTGCCGGTGGGATAGCTACACTAGTTGACCACTCGGACCATTCTTACCAGCCTACACTTACACTGGAAGAGCGTGTTAGCGCGTTAGAGACAGAGCTGGTTGCTCTTAAGTCAAAAATAAACGAGGATAACGCTATTCGGAGGTGTGAATGCAAAGATGCAAGAAATCTTGAAGAGGATTCGGAGGCTAGTTAACATACACAGCTACTGGACAACACAGTACCAAAGTGATGGATATTATGCAAAAGCTTCTCTTTTTGATGATAAATTGAAAATACAGTATTAATTATTGTTTAAATTATGTTTATTCTTTGTTCTTTTATTTTTTTAGAGCAATATACGAGCAACATTTTTGAGAATTTTATCATGCTGTAAGAATGTATTAAAATGCTTTATTTGTATAATTGCTCAAATTCATTATTTATAAAGACTTTATACAACGAAAATTTTTTATTATATCAATATTAAAGACGACAATAATGTAATTTTCTTAAAATTAATTTATGATTCAAAAATATAACGCTCTCTTGTCATTAAAATTCTTATATAAATTTGCTATAAAAATTTGCAACACCATGAAGTGTTAAAAGAAAGCCACAGAATTCTTTTAAAAATTAATGATTCTGACGATCTAGAAAATTATTTTTATTATGAAACAACATCAAGTGTTAGAATAATATGTTTCTTTTCTTTGTGCTTTATAGTGCCAACATGATGAAGAGAAAGTCGCTTTCTATGGCTATGTTAGCGGCGATGAACTAGGCTCAGGACGCCAACATATCATTGACTTCGACGTCATTCAAATAAACCTTGGAAATGGCTTCCATACTCTCAGTGGAATGTTCATTGCTCCACATCCGGGGCTTTACGTCTTTACCTGGGTAATTCAGAGCACTTGGAATGGGATAGCGTACACGCAATTGATGAGGAATTCCGAGGTTGCCGGGGAGATCGTGGCCGATAGCTCACACACTACGGAATTTCACAGCGCAACCGGGGTCGTTGTGTTACAGTTAAATCAGGGTGACGAGGTGTACGTCAGACGAAATCCCAACCAGCCGACTTCCGGTCATATTATAAGTCGACCTGGGTATAGGTCGTCTTTTAGCGGATGGAAAATTTAAACGACCTATTGAATTAATGGTGATAAAAAGTTGCCAATTCCGAACAAAGAAAATTCATTAAAGTTTTAAATTTTGCTTCTAGTGATTTTTAGTTCTTGTAAATTACATTCAATTAACTTGTGATTTATATATTGCATCAATAAAGATATTATTGAATTTACCGATATAATGTCATGTTATATTAATGAGAAAAAGAATTGTCAATATTAAATATTTAAAGGTAAAATTATCTTTCCTCTTTTGAATAATTCTTTTTTACAATGACACAACAGTTGTTTTAAATTATTTTTTAAAGAAAAAAAAAATTAGAAAGACATGACCTTTTGTGTTTTAGTGATACATTGTATAACTTATTTTATTTCATAAGTGTGTAAATCGTTCACTGTAGACCAGGATTGTATTAACAATATTCTTTTGAAAAGTAAACGAATATTTTTCTTTGCCTGTCTTTCTGAAAATAAGAAAATATGAAAACACTATCCATTGGTCTAGGGGTTCCAGCTATGAGTTTTTTTTTTTTATTTTATCTATTGACATTCCATAAAAACTGTTTCGCAAAGATCAATAAATCATTTATTGCTACTCAACCAATACAATATATTAAGGGTTGTCGGGGGCATATGAGGTCAGGGCCGGGTCATTGATGTTCTTAGTAACCGTCTCTAAGGATCCATCCGTCATTCTTATTTCACAGGCCGTCACAGCACCTGAAATTTTAAATAAAAAATATATCACATTTCAAGGTTTAATTTTTTATATCTTTTTATTTACAACCATTTTATGGACGAAGAAGAAATTAATTTCAATATTCCTTTTCGGCTACTAGTTGAGGTGTCTTTTTAATTAATTAAAATTGCAGTACCCTGAATTGTTCAGTTTCATCGATACAGTCAGACAATAGTTTGAGAACATTTATGCAAAACAACATTTTTCTTATAAATATAATGATCGTTCAAATTTCAAAGATTGCATTATATGCAAAATGATAAATAAATTAGTAAACACATGAATTAATGAAATAAATAGAAATTAAATTAAATAAAATAAATGAATAAAATAAGAAACAAAAAATGAACATTTGTTTATGTCATGTCAAAACATATTTTAAATATTGGTTTTCACCTTTTTATAAACAGGATTTCTTTATGACGCAACAACAATACATTCTTAACAATTTTATACAGATTGCTTGTCAGTCAATAATTCTTTTATGTGACAAAACGTAAAGTCTGTTTATCGTACAAAGTTTTTCTTCCATGTAGCACAATATTCAATACCATACTTGGGAACTAGATAAGAAAATTGACGTAAATTGCTATACTTACCGGAACTATCCGTTAAAAGTTTCTGTATTATTCATGTGTTGATTGTTTTCTTCCTGTAACTTTAACACATTGTACGTCTAAATATGAAGATACTGAGTAGTTTTCATCGTATACTGTCCTTAAAAATAAATTTTACAGTTAAACTATGGTATCTCAATCTTCCTTATCAAGAACATCAAGGATATCACTGATGTTTTGGTCTAAATTTTTTTCTATATATTGTATATCAACATGGCGACCGGTCGGCAGGAGATGCTAAGTCCTCTGATATGGAGGTTCTATGTTTGCTTTGCTCCTATTTTGTATTGTTAATGGACCTTCTAACGTGAATTCAATTTCAAATATTTTTATTCTAAAGAACGAGATTTAATTTACCTTTATTTCGGCTTAAATCAAAAATATCATAACTACTGCTACTTCATATTTCTTGAAAGGAATTAAACAGCAAATATCTATAAATTAAGTTAAAATCCAAACCATTTAGACTAAACACTTAAATATTAAATATAAATCAGATATTCAATATTTCTTTGCAGTATAGAATAAAAAAAATATTTTTCAACTATCATAGATTAACAATTTGTTTTCAGCGTTTTTAGTTCGGTAATTTCCAAAATAAGGCTGATATATTGTCAATTTGACGTATAAAATACTGAAAGAGTACTGAAAAAATGGATTTCATATTTTAGCGGATTGGCGCAAACAACGTTTGCGCTAATTCATGAAAACCGCTAAGAAATCATTTAAATAAACACTGTACAATAACTGCATATAACGCTGAACTGGGTACAGTATGTATAACGAGGCGGCCCAAATCGGCAAAAATTAAACGCGCAACATTTTTTGAACTTGTCAATTTATTGTTATGAAAAATGGTATTAATTTTCTTCAACCCAATGTATATAACGTTCAAAACCGGTCAAATATTCCGGAAAGCAAACGTTTTGAAGTTTATATGTAAATGCAAAACTTTGCAGAAAGAACAAGTATAAACTAATATGCAAGAGAAAAAATAACTGTACAAAAGTGCGGCCACGTACGTTTTTAAGAAAAACTGTAGTTGAAAATACTTCAATAGATGTGACTTTTCCTCCTTATTAAAATCTATACTTTTAAAGAAATTAAATGTTGAAGTCTGAATCTGAATGTGTTATAATCTAATCTATACTTTTACAGAAATTTATTGTTTAAATCTGTATCTGAATGTTATGAAAACCACAGAAACTTCTTTGTAAAATTTATCAAGGGACATTGCATGGAAATCAATGACGCAATACATTAAAAACATGACGTCACAATGCATATGTTGAATAACCAAATTCTTCAGTCTTCCATAATAAATTAATGATATGATAAATTTTCAAAAATATATGTTTGAAAAACAGTCAAATGACATAAGTTTACATATACATGTACCTCTTATAAAACGAGCCTCTCCTTCATATTGGACGTGATATTGACTTTATGTTCAAGAAAAATTGTTTTAACGTTTTATTTAAGGAATGAAATACAGTAAATAACTTGAGACTAATTTTTTGGTGCTAGATCCATTATGACGTCAAAATCAATTTCAACGTTCTTTTTCCCGTACTTTACGGCTTAAGCAGAATTATGTAGAAAAAAGGGTATTTTCATGTCATTTAATTTGAAATCAATGAAAAGTAAATCGGATACCTATATTAAATTTGATATTGATTTAGGCCATGAACATACTAATTACCGTTTTCTGAGAGACTGTAGGCAACTGGATATATTTCCTTTGCCGAATAGTTTTTCTTAATTTTTCATTGAAAATGACAATATTCAATACAGTTTTTCATCTTGTATGTTACAAATTATGGAACACCTTATTTGACCAAAAAAGTTTAAAGCATCAATAAAGGAAAGTAATTGCTATACTTACCGCGAAGCGGTTTATATCCAGTTTATACCGTATAAAGTTTCATTGCTTATAATTTAATTTTCATTCATTTGATGTGTAACAAAATGACTTCAATTTGTACAAAATTTGAATGTAACGTCAGGCGGATTGATAACGGTCATTGTGACGTAGGCAACCCATTTTATACGATATAAAGTAATTTTTTATCCGTGAAATACTAGCGTTACAAACAGAATTAAATTATTGAAAATTATCATGCAGCTTTTCTAAAGTATGATTTAGATTCTGAGTATATATTTATCATGGTCCTTAAAAACAAATTTTACGATTAAAATATGGATATTCCGAAATACCATCTTCCGCCATGGCAATGTATTTTAAAATCAAGATCACCCCCATGGGGCTTAGAGATGCGTCTCAAGCCACGGTCCAATTTCCGCATATGTCTTTGGTGACCGTGGTTTAAATAACCCCCTCCCCCTTTATTAAATTCATGAATCTATATATTGTATATCAACATGGTGATCGGCAATTTCTATGTAATTTTAAAAAGAAACATGATACAATCAACTATTTATTTGTGTCTGAATAAAGATTAACAGTTCCAAAAGCAATTAACACTTTTCTTTGACAATAGGCAATTTTAACATATATGAGGTCCGCTGTAGAAACAATTGTTTGCTTTGCTCCTATTTTGTATTATCAGAAAAATTGGACTTTAAATTGCTTTTTAAAATTATCTGTGTTAAAACGAATGTATTAGACAAAACGATTTAAAAGAATACAAAATTCATAAAATAATACTCAGATATTTTATACTTTTTTTGAGTCCATATCGTAGTGAAAAGAACGAATTTTAAAGATGTTAATTTACCGAAAAAATATGAAAAGTATTTTAAGAACAAATATAAAAAATTCGGCTTAAATCAAAAATATTATAACGACAAGATTGGAATTGAAATTATTATTGTCACTGAAATCTTTTAAATATCTATAAACATTTACATTTTTCAATATCAAAAATGAAAGGAATTAAACAGCAAATATTTACTAAGTTAAAATTCAAACCATTTAGACTAACCACTTAAAGTTTTATTGGCCACACAACACAAAATAAGATATTCAATTATTTTTTCCAATATGTAGCTTATAAAAAGTTTAAATAAGAAAAGGGAAAAAAATAAATGTTTTTTTTTCGTTATTCTGCATTTCGATTATTTGTATTTTGCTTCATGTAAATAGAAAAATATATAGAAGTGGGGGGGGGGGGGTTACTGATTATCAAGATGTACAATTATGACTACCAATGAACAAGTTTATATCACAGATTAACAGTTTTGTTTTCAGAGTCATTAGTTGGGCATCTGCCAAAATAATGCATAAACTATATAAATTGTAACATTTCAATGTCACGTATAATAATACAACTAGGAAACCATGCCTGTTGAAAGTGTAAAAAATACCTCCCGCTTGAAAATTTCGATATGTCCATATTTCAGGGCGATTTTCCGCATACTATTATACCACTGAATGAAATTCAATGAAACTTTCACAGAATCTTAATAACATATTGCCATTGTGCACCTTTTATTTTACTCTTTGATCCGACACATGTTTTGGCAAAACGCTACGGCAAAACATAAAAGAGAACCGCTAAGAAATCATTTAAATACTATTATACAAAAAAGCAAGCCAATATATATACAATTGTACATGTACATTATAAATAATCAATCAATATGAATAAGATACTTTCTTCGACCTCTAGGCTTTTAGCAAGACATGCACATCTTACTCTAACTACCAGTAATTAAGAATTTGATGCATAGATATTTACCTTTTACCTTGAAGCATAAAGTATATATTTAAACTATATGTTTTAAAAGCTTAAGTTTGTTGGCACGTTAAAATGAAGTTTAATGTGGTTCTAAAATTTGGATAAGCCATTTATGTTAATGTACAGTATAAATAATCAATCAATATAAACAAGATACTTTCTTCATGGCTTTGATATATAAACATAAAGATAAAACTTTTATATGTTTATCCCCGAAGTTTACCAAAGTTCCGATTAAAACATTGGAAATAAGCAAAACTACCACAATATTTGCTGCCGGAATCCGCTTTTTATCCATGACTATTTTTTCTATACGTAAGTAAATACACTATTAGGCGCATGTTTGGTTACGAGATATCTATATGGAGACTGTCTGTCAAAGGCATTAGTTAAGAACATATATTTTGCGTGGCTGTTTATGTCAACATCTGCAAAGTATATGTTGTGACAAAAAATATATTACACCATTACCCAACATTGTAAATTTCTTGTTTTTCTTTAATTGTTGCCTTGAAGGTTTTATGTTTCAGTTTAAATAATTTGTTTATTTGTTTCTGCTCGTTGTATTTTTTTTTATTGTGTTAAGAAAATGTATCAAAATACTTATTTTACTGTTTACATGTGATAGTTGTTATTGTTTTTTTAAACAAAGAAATTGACTTTTATTGTCAGCACCTGAAAGAAAAAAAGTTTAAATTATTTTAAATAGAACGAATTTTGGAAAGATGTATGAAATAAGAAGATGCATGAAATGTGTCGACATAACGAACAGCATTCAAGATCAAAAGTCCATTAAACAATACAAAGGAGGAGTAGAGCAAAAACGGACCTCCGAAACATCGGAGGTGGGATCAGGTGACATAGAGGAGTAAGCATCCCCTGCTGACCCGTCACACCCTCCATGTGCTCCTTGTCATGATAAAGAAATAACGAAAAATCCGTCGTCAATTCATTGTGTAAGTAATAGCATAACAATACGTATGAAAAACGCATATGGTTTTGAACAACCTCAAGACCCGTATTTGCATCTGAAATTTAGATACCGGTATAAATTAGTTTTTTTTACCATTATGTTAGTCTTTTTCAGGATTTCTTTAAAAAAAATGACATTTTAAACCTGTTCATTACAGATAAGCTATGATACACCCAGCAATGAAATCTGTTAAAGAATGTCATTTACAAAAAAAAAAATAAACTCTTCAAAAAAAAAATAATAAAAATAAAAAAAAAACAGACATCTTTAACTCTTTCTTGATCAGATGCATGTTATTACATACATGAACAGCTAATGAAGTCAACTATATCAAATGTCGTCATGTATTTACTAAAACCTGAAAAACACCTGTACGTCTGTAATGATCTGAAAGAAAACAAATTGATGTCTAATATGATGAATATCATAAAACAAATTTTCCTTGTAATAACAAAAAAATTACATGCACTGGACAATTTGAACGCATGGCATAAAACTGTTTTCGCATTTCTCATCCTGTTCTTACGATCGTATAAATTTATTTGCACTTGAGTTTGGTTGTATTTAAAGACTGAATCATTACCACAATACGGTAAGAAAAATGCATGTTTTTTATTTCATAAAACTTATTAAAGATTCCCTAAAGCCATTGTACAGTGTATAGCAAAATAACAAAAAAAAGTAGAGTAACTTAAAACTTAAAAGGGATCATTAATGAACTTAAACAATTAAAATAAGAAGAAAAAAATAGAAATTTGAATGCAGTAGGTTAAATTTTGGAATATTGAACAAAAATTATGCAAAGAATTTTCCCCCGTTCATAGAAAACATGTTAATCAATCCAAACAGATTGTACAATTTTTAATGATAATTTTAATACCTTGGCAATACTTGATATTATAGTTTATAGTACATGTGCTTTTGTCAGGTAAAAGATGGGGCTTTATTTACTTATACTTTTGGTGGCTCCAGCGATGGTGAATTCTCAGACAAACAGTAAGGAATATGAATCTAGTACATTAAAACACACTCGCCTTTAGTGAATTCTTAAATTATTAATGTATGCTTAGTGAAAATAAATACCAAATCATACTAACTTAAAAATGATTAGTAAGACTTGGTATTTGTTTTACATAGTAATTCTAATATTATAAAAGTACGCTTACAGAAAATTGTAGAAATGAATATAGCCAATCTATTTTTTATTTGATATACGATTTCATTTACTTTTGCGTGTATATTCTTCGCTCATCTTTATACAGATTTGATCATTTAATTTATTAAAAAAAAATATTCCTATTTCTATAGAAAGATCAAAGTGTAATGAAAACAGAATGTGTTGTCATATTTTACATACATAATTAGTTTTTCTCATGTACGATAATTGATAAGTGGATGAATTCCAATAAAGAATTGCATTTAAAGGACTCGTGGCGATATTCATTCCTCGTATATGCTTGTTCTTTATAGATTGTGCGTGCATACAAGTGTATAACCCGGTCTGTGGAATAAACGGAAGGACATATTCTAACTCAGGATGTGCCGGGTGTGCGTAAGTAACTCTGATCTACAAAAAATCTACGAATCCTTAGTTTGACCATTTAATAGCTAATTCAAGTTTAAAACAATGTTGCATAATTTTTTGTACGCAATTAGTGAATGAATAAAAAATATATATCCTACAATTTAGAAACAGTTACTATTTATATTTACCATTCCATACAAATATAAGAGTTGTCTTTCGCCCTCCATAGTCTAAAAGCAATATTTTTCAGTTAAACAGATAAAATTGAAGAATTCTTATTATTGTGAGTTGATTTTATCATTTTATCATTTAAAAACATGACAGTCAGTTCTCGTGATTTCCATAGTTTTTGGTCTGTAAAGATATTTCACAATTCTTTTTTTTTTTTTTTTTTTTTTCTTGATGCGTCGTATTTCCTTTTTATGTTCCTCAATTAATCATCAGTCATGATTTTATAAATAGTAGTATACAAAGACTTAAGCAAAATGATGTAAAACCTTTTCGTTGTTTCATATTTAATTCTTTTATTTATTTGCGAGTTTCGCCAGGAAAAAAAAAACAAGAACAAAAGGGAAAAGCAGGAGGTATCTGGCCGGGGGACCATAAAACTTAGATGAGCTCACTTTTGATCTCAGTCTCACTGTATAGTGGAAAAGTGAGACTGAGATCAAAAATGAACTCGTGTAAGATTTATGGTTCCCAGGCCTGGCCTCGCTTCTGTAATTTAAAGAGGTTCATGTATGCTCTTCTCTTACATTGTATTGTTTCATTGGACCTTCGATATTCATACTTCTTTCCTTATCTCCATATTTCAATGAAGCATAAGGCGAAACTTGAACAATTTGTCTCAGGGTTACACTTTACTTTCAAGAGATTTACGACATAACTTTTTATTTACATTTATGATTATCGTATTAAGTTCAGGATACAATTCACTACCTGTAGATATTAATAAAATTTATAATGAATATTTTTCAACAACAAAATCTATGCCTAATTCGTAAACCATTCAATTGATACCCCCCACAAACCTGTTGTTTACGAGTTCTTTTGTCCTTTTTCTGTAGAGGCGTTTCCGTACAGTGTATGGGAGAGTGTCCGTGTAGAAGCCCAGGGAATCCAGGGAACTGTGCCTGTCCCTTTATATATGACCCGGTCTGTGGATTTAATGGTAGGACCTACAGTAACAGCTGTACTGCACGCTGCAGGTAAGATTTATCATGAACCTACCGGTAGTCGGGGGAAGGGTGAAGGCCAAACAAAACAAAACAAAAAAAAACTTAGGCGAGCACATTTTTGATATCAGTCACTTTCCCACTTTATAAAGCTAAATGTGAGAGTGGGACCAAAAATTAGCTACTCTTCTTTTTGGTCCCGTGGCCTGGATCCAGGATTGTGATTGAGAATTAAACTAAATGCAAATTTTCTATTACCTCTAAAATGTTTATGATTAATTTTTGATTCAATATCAAATTTTGCAAAATACATATTTTTAAGAAGCAATATTGCCAAATATTATTTTTTTATGCATGATTTCATTATAATTTTAATGCAAAATTTGAACATAAACTTAGGAGTATTCAATTAATGCCATACATAACAGCGGTAACATTTTTATTCGTTGCTAAGTATTGACATGTCTGCAATTATTTTATCTTATCATTGTTTTCTTTTTCCTTTTTGTGGAGTATTTTTCTATTGGCGTGGAAGGTGTTCATTTTAACCTGTGTATAATTGCATAATTTAAGAAAAGTACAACACAGATTTCTTTTTTTTTTCGTTTTCATTCATATTTTCTACATTATTCATTAAAAAACAATTGTTTTTCTTGTATTTTTCGTCACTTCCTGGAAAAGGATACGTAATATTGACATGGCGATCCATCTGATTTATGGACAATTCTCTGTGTACAGTTCTTTTCAATAACAACGCATCCCTCGGGTAAGGTGTAGTGCATTAGCATACTGGGAAAAAAGAATGATTGTATAAAACAAGAAGATAACGAGCTAGATTTTAATTTATATTAAAAAAGAAAATATTTTTCTTTTATTCCTAATGGTGAGTTTTATATAAAAGTGTGAAGTGAACTAGTTGACGGAGTATTTTCCATTAGAAATCAAAATTACTCGTCCTAACATTTTGTTGTAAACGTGTTTTTCGGAAAATAATACTTAAGTTGTCAATTAACTCTGTGGTAATAACATTTAATTTAAATATCAATTTATGTACAATTTACTCGTAAAAATATCAATTTATGTACAATTTACTCGGCAATTTTTGCCTAATTTTGTACAGACCTTTTTTTTTAAATCATATAAAGCAGAATTTGTTCAAAATACATACATATAGATAGATCAATGACGTATTATAAATAAGAATATTTATTTATGTACGTATGCCGACAATTTATATCACAATGGGCTTCAAATAAAAGATACAACTGTACTGTGAAACATATATAGATAACATTTATTCTATAATTATTATTCATAGATTAATATTTATAACAGTATTCAAGTTCAAAAGTATATAAAACAAAATAGAAGCAGAGCAAACAAGGACCTTCAAAACATCAGAAGTAGCATGAGGTTCCATGGAGGATCTAGCATCCCAAGCCGACCGGTCACACCCAATGTGTGTTCCTTGTCATGATAGGGAAATAACGGATAGATCTGTTGTCAATAATGGAGTAACAATTAGTATTCACATTTGACTCTTTGATAAATTGTATTTGCTGACAAGGTTATTGTTTAGATCATAGAAATCATGACTGTAAACGAGAGTGAAGATGTTCTTGTTTTTCAATCACAGAGTCTGAAATACCAATTTCATATTTTGATATGTACAAGAAAAAGACGTTCATGGCAATCTTACAATTTAACAAATCAAACTTTTTTGATAAATGTACAGTGGCTTTTCTAATATCAACTTCCCTTAATTAGTCAGCTACATGTATAGACCTGCAAATTGGGTTCATGTCTCTCCATTAATTATATACACAAAATTAAGCTGTACACATAAAAAAAATTAAAATGACATATTGTTAAGAAAAAATGAAGAAACCAAATTGTCAACATTTTTGTTTTAAATCATTACTTCGTAAGTTCTCTGCTCGATACAATGGTCTCTTCAGCAAAAACAATCTATCATTAAATCAAATGACTGACTTTTTATACATGTGTAGTAGGTGTTTAACCATCATTTACACACTGACTTGCCGACAGAGTTTCCGTGATTTTCTCATCATGACAAAGAGGACATGTCGACTGAGCCTGGAGCAGGGGACGCTTACTCTTCCATGGTATCTGATCCCGCCTCTGATGGTTTAGAGTATTTTTTTTCCTACTGATTTATATTGACTGAATGAATCTGTATCTCCAAATATTTCTCAAAATAGATAAAACAAACTAAAACGAATTTAAAACAAATGTCTTACGAGCAGCAATAAAGACCCAGATCCGCCCCGCAATGACACCTTAAACACTTGGTCATATCTGTGTGTGCTTCTCCTGGCGCCAAATACATTCCAGAATAGTTACAGTGTGTGGGAGGCGGATCTAAAATAAGAAACAGTTCAAAAAATAAAAATACCAATGTTAACAAAATTGAAATTATTCTGAAAGAATCAGAAACAGGCAGTTCTACATTTTTATCAAAGAATCATGTTACACGTGCAAAAATTTAAGTCCCAAACATATTTGGATAAAAAATAATAAAAAAAAAAATGGCCGAATAAATGATTGTAAAGTAGAAAAGAGTACACTTTTAAAATTAGGAAGATGAAACTCTTTTGCAAACAATGATTCCTATCATAGAATTCAGCATATCAATAAAAATATGGTTGTGGAACTAGATACAAAAACAAAAATATTGCAATTCTGATCTCGATTGATAACGTAATATATTTTGATCAATAACACTTTCGCATAAGATACAAAGAAAGACAACACTGATAAATCAGCATTTAATACTCACATAAATCAAATGTTGCAATCAGCAAGCAAAAGTACTAATATACTTGTAAATATCATCAATCTATGCCTTTGTGGTTATATAAAATCAATGAAATGTGTGCAAAAGTATAAAAGAAACTTAAGTATTTCATTTGTCCAGAAATATAAAGGAAAACGTCATTAAGAACATACAACTGCACTCAATGTACTTTCTCTCTATTTACTGGTCTTTACTTATTTTTGTTTGGCGTTTGACATGGTCGTAGTAATCGTTGGGTCTAGGGGTGGCCCTCCCCAATATCTTTGCCGATATATAGTATGATATTAGAAACATAAATATTATATACTTGTGACCCTCAATATAGACGTCTGATGACTCAAAAATATGAAGTTGTGCCACCCCCTTCATTTTGAATCACTCCCTATGGAGCAGTTTGATATATAGCAAAATTTAACGGTGTGAACTTTGAAAAAAGGAAATCATCCTTGATGCCTTGTAATATAAAAATTATTGTAACAGTAAAACTTATGTAACACAAAAACGCTTATTACGAATTCGCAGATAAAGCGAAATTTTCATGGATCCCCAGGTACATAAATTTAATTATTTTTATATCAATATGACGAACTACGGGTATAATAAAATGATTTCTCAGGTCCCAGTAACTCCGTTATAATCAAGCTTTACTGTACTTACATTCCACTTGCTATTACCTGTAGAGCCTGGGGGTGGCGGTGTTAACTGGTGAGCAGAGAAACACTGTCCTGTACAACTGCCAAGAAGGACAACGAACCATAACAAAGACAAGACAATGGACTTCATGTATCTACTAAAGTTGTGTCAAATTAAGCACAACACCGTTCCTAAGTACCTGTTCTATTGGTGTCAAATTAAGCACAACACAGTTCTTAAGTACTTCTTCATACTCCCTTATCTGTAATTTTACCTTGTATTGAAGTCCGTTTACTAAATGCACCTATATGTCACAATCTCGACCGATACACTATAAAATATATGAAATATTACTTCTCTGAGGTTTGCCTTAGTAAATCTTGCTTTAGGACAAAATTTTCACTGAGATATGTCCTATTTAACCTTTTTCATCAGTTGCTATTAGATTGAAATACTTAAATGATACAAATAGTTTAAGAGAAAAAATTATAATCCTATTGCACATATTAATAACATAGAAAACATTGTGAAAAGAACTACATAGTTGTAGCATTAAAATGACTCAGGGAATATTTCTGTAGAGGGATGTACTAAGGTTTTTCATTTAGTGCTAAACGCATTAAGGTATGGAAATTAAATTGAAGGTAAACGTATCACAGCTCGGTTTGTTTTTCATGTACGGTTTGTTTTACAATAGAACCACCCAGAAATATTACAATGTTGCTGATAATTTGTTGTATCGATCTCGTTAAGTTTAAGTAGATCAAAACAAAGATTACAGTGGGGTTCCTTGGTGCTTAGATTTGAGACTTTGTGTTGCTTTCTATATTTTTGGGTGTTGAACTATGTTCAATCTCCCATGGTCATCACGCATTTAACATTCGCAGTAATTTGTGTTGATTATATAGAGCCGAAAGCGAGGCTACTGTCCTCCGCCACATCATCCGCCACAAATAATTCAAGGTAATTTCTTCTGAATTGATCTCATTTTCATAATTTGAAATCAGAGGCGTAGTCACAAACTTAAAAGTGGGGGGGCTCAACTCCAGAAATTCTTTGACAAGCAAAAAAAAAAAAAAAAAAAAAAGAAAAGAAAGAAAAAGAAAATTGTAAGTTCCCAAAAACTTAAAAGTGGGGAAAATCCTATTTCGTAGGGGGGGGGGGGTAGTGGCCAACTTTTTTCAAAGGCAAGTTACTTTCAATTCCAATTTTTTTTCCAAAATTCTTCGATATTACTATACTAGGGTCAAACAGTGGGGGGCAACTATCCCTTCAATGAACATTTCCTATATTAAAGAAAATGTTGGGGAAATATAGCTGTGATTCTGTTCTTCATTGAAAAGTGGGGGGGGGGCACAGACATACTCTTGCCCCCCCAGATCTGAAAGTGGGGGGGCTATTGCCCCCGCTGCCCCCCCTGTGACTACGCCTATGGAAATGTAAGTAAATGCAATGATTAAGTAATCTTATTTTGAATATTAGATTTCGTTCAAAGTTAAATTATAAAGAATCTCAAAAGTTTTTCGTAACGGAACTCATTTTTAGTGTAGCGTCATACACTGAAAGAGATACGAACGACAACTCTATATACTGACGGCAAGCAGTAAATCTAGTCTTCCCGATGCCCGACGGTCCCGGGTTTTTGGCAATTTCTTTTTCACCGGTTCACAGAATTTATTCAAACTTTTCATGAACATTTTCGTGGTTTAAATAAATTCATTAATGCATAAAACCTTTAGGAAACAGGCGTATTTATTTCTAAATCAGCAGTATCACCTGCCAAAAGCGATAAATCTAGTACTCTGTTATAAATGTTAAAATCAAAAACGGACACAGATGTTTTCGTAAAATCGCGATTAAAAACAACAAAAGGAAGTATTTTTGTTTTTAATAAAAGGAAAACCTCATTTATATACCAGATAATTTGTACGCACACAGACTCTCACATATACCACTGTTTTTATGTTTGGTCATTAAATATTTGTTTTTAACTTTGTATTGCTTTTTTCTTCACAATATTAAAAATGATTAAGTTCTGACGTACTCCATGTATAATGTTCGTGTAATTGAAATACACTTATATTCACAGAGAAGTTTTATATAACAAACCTGTTATCTCTTAAAAGGATGCTGTGTTAAAATCCACATTTTATCAACATTGATATCATTCCTGCGAAACTGAAATTTTCATTACACCACATGGGTAAAGGTGCCATGGAAAATATATTATAAATTTGAAGAATGTGAGCAGTGAATTATATAAATGATCAACCGCCTCTAATATGAATATAATGGCATTGTCCATGTTTTGCAATGGGAAACCCAAAAGATGTGTAGGAAAAGTGATAGAAGGTGCACGACGGCAATATGTGATACAGATTCCATGAAAATTTCGTTCAGTGGTGTAAGAGTTGTGGATAAGAGATGGATATACCTAAAGCGTAACAAACAGATGGACGGAAATCCCGATTAATAAATACCCTCCCGCTTTTCAAGCAGGGGCTATAAAAAAAGGACTAATGTAGGCAGGCAAGCATTATGGCCCATGCGTTTTTTTGCTATTCAATGTCTCTGAATGTCTTTCTCAAGATTGTCGCAGCTCAAAAAATCTGAAACAGTTGTCTGTATTTGAAATAATAATATTGTTCACTCACTTAAGTCGACCGGAACGCGGCAGGTGTGTTGTCGAAGGTAAATAATGTAAACAATGTAACCAATGTGCAATCCATGGATCCTCCGCCAGCTCATTCGAACACTGCTACTAGTACTAATTTTAGTTCGAGACCTGCGTGGGTTGATCAGTTGTTTAGGAGAATTGGAGATATTGATATAAAATTATCGCGAATTGACAAAATAAACGATGACCTAGAATCGGTGGTGCTGTGTCCATGGACTGAGCAAGAGGCTGAGAAGACAAAGGTAATTAATGAGCAATTAAGGAAACAGGTCACAGATCTCAATGACAAAATTCTTGACCTTCAGAGTCGAAGCATGAGAGACAATTTATTGTTTTTTGGCCTTGCCGAATACCGTGGTAATAGAAGAGGGAATTGTGAAAGGCTCATAAATGACTTTTGTGAAACCAAGTTGAATATATCTGGAGTTGGAAACTACACTGAGCGTGCTCATCGATTGGGAAGATTCAGCAATCAAACAGTGCGGCCTATTGTTGTGAAATTCTCCAGCTTTAAGGAACAGGAGAGGATTAGGATGTGTGCATCCAAATTGAAAGATACAGGCTTTGGAGAAAGAGCAGTTTCCGGGTGAAGTTGTGGATAGGCGAAAAGCATTATTCCCGGTTATTCAGAGAGCCTTGCAGAATAACAGACGCGCAGTACTGAGGGTCGATAAGCTATACATGGACAGTAATTATGATAAATAACATAAAAATTTTCGTTGTTTTATCCTCTCATATGACATCATCTTTTAATAGAATACTGGATCGAAAAGGAGTTCTCTGTTGAGGTGGAAGGATTTTATAGTTTTGTTTTTCCTAGAAAATTTTCGAAATCTAAGCAAGGTGGAGGTTGTATTATTTTAATTCGTAAAAAATATTAAGCAATATGTATCTTTTCTTAAATATATGTATGACACTATCATATGGCTTAAGCTTGATAAATGTATATTACAAAGCACTGAAGCTATGTATATGGCCTGTGTGTATATACCACCAAGCAGTTTTAATTTCTACCAAACTTATGATTGCGATATATTTAGTGATCTCGAAAACCAAATTGTTGAATATATGAATTTTGGGAAAGTTATATTGATTGGTGACACTAATGCAAGAACAGCAGGCGCAAATGATTTCATAATGCATGATATATTACATAATGATGTTTTGAGAGAATTAAGTGAAGTTTTATTTAATGGCGTAGATACACATAATCAAAGTAGAACAAACCCTGATGTTGTTGTTAATGATTTGGGTAACAAATTATTATCACTTTGTAAAAGTAGTGGGCTGAGAATTTTGAATGGGCGTCATAAATTGGGTATGGACAAAGATTATTCATTTGTTGGCCCAAGGGGCATGAGTGTTGTAGATTATGTAATAACTACCCCTGATGTATTTCAACAAATTGATCAGTTTATTGTTGCAAACTTTAACATGTATTCAGATCATGCGCCTCTTCAGCTTAGATTGAAATCAAAAAATATTATATGTAACTCGATTGTGCATAGTGAGAGTGAAAACCAAATTTCTGCGCAATTCCTCTGTAACCAGAATTTGTTTTCCCAAGCTAGGGCTTTAATTGAGAATTTTGAAGATCTTGTGTCATGTTTACAAAACACCCCGTCGGAGTCCCAGTCTAGTATAGATGTATCGATCGATTTGTTTACAACACGTTTGACTGACCTTATGCGACCTTATTTTGAAGTTAACAAAAGGCGTTCAAAACCGGTTCATAATCCAGGTGGAACAAGCTCTCGAAATTACCAGACAAACCTTGGTTTAACGTAGAGCTCAAAGAAAAGTATAGGATATATCGCTCAGCACTCACCCGTTTTAATAATACGAAAAACAGAGAAAACCATTTGAATTTAACCGAAGCTAAAAAAAGTTTCAAGCATTCAGAAGCAAAACTTAGGCGCCAGTATTTATGGAAAGAAAGCGATTTATTGGATCATCTCCGGAAAGATAACCCAAAAATATTTTATAAACATTTTCGAAAAAGAAAACAAGAACATACATCAATTGATTTGGAACTATTCCAAAGGCATTTCAAAGATTTATCTACATTTTCTACCAATATGGATAACGGATTGGACACAGGAAATATCGTGTTTGATGAATTAGATACTGAAATCACTGAAAAAGAAATATCGGATGCTATAGATTGTCTTAAACGAGAAAAATCTCATTGCCTTGATCATATTTTGAATGAATACTTTATAGAATTCAAGGACATATTTTTATCATATTTACATATTTTTTTTAAATCGTATATTAACATCTGGTTATTTTCCAACAGAATGGTCTGATGCTATTATTGTGCCTGTTTTTAAGAAGGGCGACCCCGACGCTCCCAATAATTATCGAGGTATAAGTCTTATTAGCTGCTTTTATAAATTGTTCAGCTCAATACTGAATAGAAGGCTTATACTATGGGCATCATCTAATAGTGTTATTACAGATGCACAGTTTGGTTTTCAACCTATGTTAGGTACTACAGAAGCAATATTTGCGCTACATTGTCTTGTATCAAAAACACTTCAAACTAAGAAACGGCTTCATTGTTGTTTTGTTGATTATAAGAAGGCTTTTGACTCCATCATTAGAGAAAAGTTATATAGAAAACTAAAGTATTATGGTATACAAGGGAAACTACTAACAATTATTCGTTCCATTATTCTAGAATTAGAAGCTGTGTAAAATCCTCTGATCGTATATCTAATTTTTTTTAAAAGTAATGTTGGTCTTTTACAAGGGGGAGTTTAATCGCCCATGTTGTTTGTATTATATGTTAGTGATCTTGAAAATGAATTCATAAAGCGGGTAACACGCCCACTGATTTGCAGCTATTAAGCCTTTATCTTTTAATGTACGCAGATGACATGGTATTGTTTTCAGAATCAATAGATGAATTACAAAGCATGTTAAATACACTAGAGTTATATACGTACGTTTGTTTTGAACGTAGTTTATTGATATCAATCAAAAGGATTGGAAACAAGTTCTAAATAACTTAGTGAATTCCTCTCCTTATATAATACAATATGTCATGCAAAAAGAAAAAAAAATAATACAATCGATACATGAATAAATAGATACAATATAATGTAATACATCATTTGGAGAATCTACATGTTTATACGTACGTGTGGGGTCTAGATGTAAATGTATCAAAAAGTAAAGTTGTTGTTTTTAGAAATGGCGAGAAAGTCCGCGCAAATGCAAAATGGACTTATAATGGTGAAAATATAGAAATAGTGGACCAATTTGTTTATTTAGGCATTGTGTTTAACTATAACTGTAAATTCTTCATTTCTCAAAAACAATTAGCAACACAAGGTCACAAAGCTCTGTTTGCTCTCAAATCAACAATGAAGCAGCTTTATCTAAATCATTGTATTTTGTTTTCTATTTTTGATACCTATGTGTGCAGTATCTTAAACTATGGCTGTGAAGTCTGGGGATTCCACAAAGGCCAGGACAGTGAAAAGGTCCATCTTGATTTTATACGATATGTCCTCGGTGTCCGTAAAACTACGAACACGTCCATGTTGTACTTTGAGACGTCTTTGAGGACGTCTACCTATGTATTTTATTCGTATTTATCGAATGTTTAAATTCTGGTTTAAATTATTACAGTCTGAAAATTGTATATTAAGAGCTGCCTATGATTGGTCTTATTGTAGTTGTGAAAATGATAAGCAAAATTATCAAAGTTGGGCAAAATTATCAAGGAGCAATTACATTGTTTGTGCCTTGGGTATATGTGGAGCGACCAAAGGAATCTGAATAGTCGTATCTGTCTGCCGATCATTCGTCAAAGACTTAATGATCACTTTATACAAACCCTATATAGTAAAATGCAAACAGAATCAAAATGTTATATTTATAAGCATTTAATTGACAACTTTTGCTTGCAACATTACTTAGAAAAATCGATACCAAAGGTGTACAAAAAATGTATTTCTAAAATAAGGTTGTCCTCGCATAATCTGTTTATTGAAACGGGTAGACATAAAAATGTAACAAGTGACAAAAGATTCTGTAAAATATGTACTACAGAAATTGAAGATGAATATCATTTTTTACTTGAATGCCCAATTTATTCAACATTACGATCAAAGTTTTTGAAAAAATATTATTGGTATAGGCCATCTATGTACAAATTAATACAGTTGCTAAGTGTGAATAATGTAAAAGAATTATGTAATTTAGGGAAGTTTATTTATAAAGCCCTCTCGCTTAGAAATGATTTAATCATGTCATAGTGTGCCATTTGCAGATATGTTACTTTTATATTGTTGATATGACTATAACTGCTATATTACACGTACTTTGCATTAATCTCATGTCCTTCTCCATATGAACTGTAAAGACTGTTAATATGAGTTTGTATGTATATATGTGCATGTTCCATAGAGATTTACAAGGACTGACCGTCCATTTCCGAATAATTTAATTTGGTTTGTATTCTCGCCTCTCATTGGTTGATTTCCAAAAAGGAACGCAAATTATTTTGTATAATCTGGTTTGGTATGGGGACACACCACCCCCCCCTTGACGATCAGCTTAATCATCTTATCCAAGCATATCCCCTCATTTCCAGTCCTCGGAATCCACAAAAAATTCCAGATTTAGTAAATGTACCTTTAAATTCAACTAGTTACTCGATCTTACCTCATGTAAACAAACATCATGGCTGCTAGATCTATATATCAGTTATTACCTCCCCTCGCCTCAAATCAGTTCCGTTACTACGGTTGTATTATTGCGCGGTAAATTTAAACTCATCAAAAGCAACACAATTTTACATCCAAAGTTGTTTAAATATTTTAAAATTAGAATTAGAGTCATTCCTTAATTATTTCCTTAAATACCATAAGACGTATGTCTTTTGCAATAAAGAAATTGAAGAAAAAAATTGACACAGACTCAAGGCTATTCCTTCAAGATCAAGGTCACTGACAGAAAAACATATTTTCTTTTCAACGCTATGAATGAGTAAATGAATTTTTTTGGCGCCTCTTACTTGAAACAAAAATTACTTATGATTGGAGGTTGTGTCATGTCCTTGATCACAGGTCTTTCTGATAAATCAAGGTCGCTGGCAGAGAAAAAAAGGGTTTAATTGAAGCATAACATTGTAATTGAGATTCACTGGAGGTTCATGCGGTGAAAGGAGGTTGTTCACATAAGAAAGTGCAATGACCTTGACCCAATGTCGTAACTTCATATTTCTGTCTACAGCTCCAACGGGACTTTAATACTTGTTGCTTTGCAACGAGCTCGGGGCTTGGCTCAAGTTTCTGCAATGGTGGTTGTCACCAAAGGTACAGAATTAAGCAGGATTGGTGCCTTTTTTAAAATATGCTAATTTTTTGATATATTTTTCTCGATAAATATATATTTTTTGAACATTTGTTTTCAAGTGATACTTTCTATATGTTAAACAATGATATATTCATAAATTGCAAAAGTTTTAACTTTATAAACCACATAGTTTTGGAGCTATTGTAAAAATAAATTTTTGGACATGTTGACCTTTGATAAAATCTTAAACACTTTACAAGAACGGTAAAACGTTGTTTGTAAAATAATTTGCAGTATTGAAGCTTTTAATGAAATAAAAACTACCAAAGAAAATTTGAATTTTGAATGCGACTCAATCAATCCTATCGGTGAAAATTAACAACTAATATGAATGTTAAAGTTAATGTTTACATATTTTCCCCAGGCTAAATGCGGTCTTGATGGGTTTTAATAATTGCTGTTTGCTATGTCTCAATTCTTAGTGATCTTCTAATTATGTTCTCAATAATACATATGAAGAGGGTCATTAGGATACTTCTTTTGTCATGGTTTATTTTTTAGTCCGAATAATTGACAGCTGTTAATGTATGTTTAGTTTCATTTGTAAATACTCATGCATGAGTAGTTAGTTAATTGGCTCGTTATGTGTTTTCTTATTCTTCAGCAATGATTAATAGAAAACAAATATTTTATTGTATAGATATGCGATAAAGGAATCGAATTAAACAATTTTTTTTCAAAGAAAACAAACGTCATGTTATTGAAAATTGCTCTTATGTATCCTCAATGCAGGGACAATATTAAGATGATTTAATTAAATCCATTTCATTAATATTCTATATCTTCGGAAATGTTAGATCAAACATTTGGTTTAGAAGCCACTCTTTAAAAAGATTTGGTTTTTGGAGCAATCTGGTTAGGATACCTTTCGATAATTAGAAATGGTTTGCAGTCACGGAAAAGATAAAGTCCTTCTTTTTGCGATTACCGTTCTTTGTGTCGGGAAAGCTTGTGCAACTGGACCTTTACACAAGGAACAAATTTTTAAGCGCAATTCTTCATTTGACCATAAAACACCAAACAAAACAGAATTATGTATTACAACTGTAGAAGGAATCGATCAGTCGATGTGTTTTTACATGTGCTTAAGACATTTACCTAAATGCGTGAGTCTTTTGTACAGCGGAAATTTTACATTCTGTAATCTTTTGACACTTCATCTGAGTGACAAAATTCTGAGTTTAACAAGCAACACCTCAGACGAAGGGCGGTGGGAATACTGGGCAAATGTTCGAGGTAAGATGTTTAATCTCACAATTATTCTGCGTCCCCCGCTTTCACAAGGTGGGGGTTTTTGATTTTGGTCGGTCTCTCCGTCCGTCTATATTAATGTCTATCTATGTCACATCCATTTCCCCGCGATATCTCGAGAAACTTTCGAGAATTTGATATTAAAGAAATAAAGAAAGAGAATAAAGATATGTTACACAGCAGCTCCCTTTTGGCTTAAGAGAGACCATAGCAATATAGAGGTCCAAAGGTCAAGATTATAAATTCATAATTTCTCTGTTTGAATTCTTTCGTTCCTGCGCAATATCTAGTGAACTTTTTAAGCTTTTGCATTAAAAATATGTACCATAACTTCATATGGCTTATTTATTTTGAGGTCAAAGGGCAATATCGTAAAGTCATCGATGTATATTCAATACCTCAAGAAGCCTTGTAGATTTTACTTCCTATGACACGTCTGTCCTTCTTTAAATGTCTTGCCCCCTTTCGACCCCCTAGATACGCGCATACTCTTCTTCTTCTTAAGTAAGGGACACCGATTCTTTGAATTAGCTTGTTTTCCCTTGAATTTCCAAGTTGTTAATCTAAACAAAATGCTAAATAACTTAATTTAAATGATTAATTTTGAAAAATTCGATTCTTCCTAAATTGATTCTTTCTGAAAAATGCTACATGTATTGGAGAAATACCTTAATACATTCCGTCGAAAGTCCATTAAACCTAGAATTAATAATAAAGGTGCAATGTATAGGCAATGTATAGGCAGAAATGAATTTTGGTCTTAGTCGCAAGTTCTTTTGTAAAAGGGGCCCCAGAATATACATGTATGCAATTTTGAAAATATCTTCTTTTTTTTATGTAATTAGTTAAGAAAATGTCTTTCATTGATTAGAAAACGGGTAAAAGATCGTTCGAAAATATTTTAATGAAGTTTATATTTTATGTTACATATCCAAAAATATATACTTATAACGTATTAACCAAAGGGTTTTTGAAACAGGAAATATAGTATTATTATTGAAATAAGTTGATTAGAAAAAGCGAATTATCATTTTTGAATGTAAAAAAAATACATTATTTTTTTAATCGTCGTAATAGAAACCTTATTTAAGGAAAAAAGGAAAAGCTGTACTACTGCACATTAAAAAAATCCATGTATAAATACGAGAATGACTTGTCTGGATAAATATGACTGAGCAGCATTACACATGTACATAAAGTAAACGGATTACTGTTTATAACAAGAAAACATTGATGTAACCATCAATTGTCGCCCGGGAAATAAATAAAGTAAACAATGGAAATGAGCCTTGATCATCAAATCGCTTCGATAAGTGTGAAAAATGCATGCCTCTAAATGATGGAGACGATAGTCGAGAATATTTTGAAAACTTATAGTCGGATTAAAATCGAACAGAAACGATGCCCTTTTTAAACTTTATCAATTCCTCAAGTAAATGATGGCTGCATAAAATATGAATTGAAACTAGGCTCATGCATCATCTATTTTCAAAATGTATTTCACTTTAAGAATATAAAACACGAACTTTGTAGAAGTACGTTTTTATGCGATTAGTAAAATTCGATGTTCTTAAAAAGGGATCTGTCGTTTTTTCAATAGTAAATGAGAAGCAACTTTATATATCAAATATCAAAAACATATATATTTTTACAAATTCACTTTATGGAAGTAAATATATTATGTTTCTCGTAATTGATAATGGGAAAGAACATTCTGATTAACAATCTTTCTAACGTTCAGGAAACCTTTGATACTGAATAACTTTTCCCACCTCAATCTCCATACACCAACACTTAAACTTATATGTATAGAGCAGCCCGGTCATCCGGGCTGCAATAATCACTAGAAGCTCACAAAAAAACTTCTGAATATTTACAATAGCGACATATTTCTTATTTGTGAAAACTTAAGGTCAAGATCTAGTAAATGAAAGGTGCCTACAGATTTATCAAATTTGAGAAATAAATTCCTTTATTGATGCTTTACAACTTCAGCTTGGTCAAATAAGGTGTTTCGGGGCACAAATTGAAGGTAAAGAAGATAAAAAAACTGTACTTTAATCTGTCATTTTCAACGAAAAATTAAGAAAACCAGTCATCAATATGGGTTTTTTTTTCATATTCGACAAAGGAAATGTATCCAGATTGCCTACAGTCTCTCAGAAAACGGTAATTAGTATGTTCATGGCCTCTGCTTTAAAAGATTTTGTCGTTCATGCATAGATATATGGTTGTACATTCTTAGATAAGAAAAAAGTTGATAGACATTCATTTCAGCTTGTGATGAAGGCTGGGTTCCTTTCAACGGTCATTGTTATTATCTCGACGAAAGAGAAGCAACTTGGGATGAGGCAGTGGTATTGTTTTCTTTTGTTTACTTTTTTTGTTAAAACATAAGTATTAATATATGTCTCTGTATTTTTCAATGAAATATATGGAAATAATAAACAACAAGGGCACCGCTAAGCGGAGCATCCCCTCGCGACAGGAACTTGTGACTGGTAATGGTAATATCTAATGAGGGATGAATTCTCTAGAGGGATGTTAAACTTGTTAAAGATTGATAGTACAACGTATTTTGTTTAATGTACCTCTCAGGAATTTTTTTTGCTCATATGAAGAGCTGCACATTTTTCCCTATAACAGTCACTGACGGCCATTGAGCAGTGAGGGATCTTTTTGTGCCAGCATCTATTGGGACATAGACCCTTGGTTTACACGGTCTCATTCGAAGGACCAGTCTCCATGTCCCACAGTCGGATTCGAATCCGCAACATTGGGATCAACTCCCTTACTTTTGACAAAAGTATTAGGGGGTAGGGTGTTGTTGTTGATCCATTTTTTTGCGTACAAAATGCAAAGAGCACAGCGTCTTGGTAAGGGGGGGGGGGCATTACATGGATACGTAATTTGGGGTAGTAAAGTTTAGTTTAAGATGAAGAAAATAAAAATGTTTTTCAGCACTTTTTATTTTATTTTTCCAACAAAATGGGATGGGGGGTGTCTATTTTTAATAATCAAATTGCATAGCATTTTAGTGGGGAGGGGGCATAACATGCATACGTGATTGGACAGAAACACATCACGTATGCTACAGGTATAGTTATTTACCTACCTAAGTATATCTCACTGTTCCAGGCAATACGCATTTTTTTGGTAATGAAAATTAACAATGTACATCGAGAGGTTAATTGAACTTGTGAATTGTATTTACGGCTTTCAGGAATAACGTGCAGCCCTAATTCCCAGACATTTGTTGGAATTTGGTAATGAAACCGCGACGTTCGTCAAATTATTTTAATTACTTAACGTCCGAGAAGACATGTTAATTCATACAGACTTTCTCAAAATACGCACAGTTAAATGAGAATGCGCAAATACAGTTACGAAGTAAACCTTACTGATATTGAAGCGATCCGAATTTACCAGGTTAATTAAAGGGAAGTGGTATTGTCAAGTCGTACATAAAACTATAGTTTATTGAAGCAACCTAGCTAACTAGCTTTAAGTGCAGAGTATAGAACTAAATTTGCAGCTTACCACCGGAAAGTGGTGGCGTCTCCATATTAGTGAAAAATTCTCAAGAGGGACGTTAAACATCATACAATCAACCCTATGCTTTATTTAAATATGTTAACATTTTTTTTGAATGTGAATGTTTTTATAATGAAAAAGGTGAATGTTACGAATAACAATCGATCCCATGAAATTAAAATGTTAATATAATGGACAGCGATCGATCCCTTGAAAAGTAAATATGCATACAAATTTCATTGATGATAAAGGGTGTAGTTAAGGAATAACTGTCTTATTTTTCGATTTCATGAAGTGATCAATAGATTGGCTTGCGTGATAATTTGCATAAACGCCGAAGGCGTTTATGCATAAAATTATCACGCAAGCCAATCGATTGATCATCTTCATGAAATTGAAAATTCTGACAGTTATTCCTTATATTTACATGCTTTGATTCCGCCAATCCACGTGCTCCAAGCCCTGCTTCTGTCTAGCTGTTTGTCCCGCCCTGCACGTGGTTTTTTTTGGAACCGCGCCAATACATTGATGGGGAAATAAAGTACATTTACATTTGGTAATTTTATCTCGGACAAAGACATTGGAAATGTAAATATAAAAAAATAAATATTTAAACACCTTCCAAATATATTTTAGTTGGAAGTTTAAATATTTTTCATACTGAATTAAACAAAATAATATGTTTTTTTCTTATACTGTATATTTAAGGCTCAATGTGAACAGAGAACCTCGTACTTGATAGAAATGAATTCCGACTTAGAAAGTATTTGGATCACAGAGTCATTTCTTTTGCCTGTAACTGGTGGTGAGTGGTTCATTTCTTAAAAAGAAATTGAATTGTATGTTCTTTTTTTTTAAATGTACATATAAGCATACATATTAAACATGTATTCTAATGAATAAAAAACATGTATTCTAATGAATAAAAAACAATTCAAAAGTTAATCGTGTTTAAAAACATGTACCGGTAATTCCTTGTCTGTATGCGTAAAAATCTCCACCCCTTTGAATTGGAGAGAGAAAAATGATGTTAAATCTTTTCCTTTACATAAATGTAAAAGCACATTAACCTTTGGCATATTTGTTTTACTTTGAAATATTCCATTTATTAAATTCTACGTTTAAAAACAAAACCCTATCTCTCCACTATAAATGCTACGATTAATATGCTTTGGCATTGTAGTTGAAGCAATATGTCCTCACTTCTTCAGCTGTTCAGTTTGGGTTGGTGCAAGAAGTGAATTGCCTCCGGACGAATTTCTATGGAAACAAAGCGAAATGGAAGTTGTGTTTCCTCAATGGGCGCCAAACCAACCTAACAGCGGTGGTGGTGTCCCTGCATGCATCGTTCTTCAGAGAGACGGGACCGGAAATGACATGTATTGTACGAAGACATTCCAGTTCATCTGTGAGAAAGAGTAATACTGTCCAAGAGCAGGAAAACCTCGAACATTCATGTAACACAGACATTTGTGTATATGAACGCGACAAGTATTGTGTTTCCCTTGAAGAAATTATTGGTTATTTAGGGAGGGGTGTGTATAAAATTAAAGTATTTTATAGTATTTTTTATTTGTAATGTATAAATTTTTAACATCCGGTGATGTCTATACCGAGCGCAGCGAGCGTCGGAACGCTCATCACTGCAAGCTCTTCAAGCAACGCCTGTGCGAAGAGAAAATTCGGACTACTGCACATTCATTCGATAGAAGTTTTTGACGCATTAATTTGGACCCATAATGCATCACTTGTTAAAGCTAGGTTCTCGCGAGAATAGCGGCAAATGTTCAACTAAAAGTAAACATGCCCTGATTTAATGGATAAATATTGAAGATAAACAGTAAACGAAACGTTCTTCATTTACTTTCAGCACTGTTCAGGCTTCTTTTTGGAAATGTAACTTACATATGACATCATGTGACGTAAGAGTCTAGACGACCAAATCAATCTGTACCCAGAGTTGTCGTTCGCTTCGTATAAGTGGAACGATAACTCTGGGTAGAGATTGGCACCAAATGGACACAGACTATCAATTATTTTGCTATACATTCCTTTATAACATAAAAAATATTTTTAAAAAATACACCGGCTCAACTTACCTAAAACTTGGCACAGAGTAAGACTATTTTAAGTCCAAAAATTTACCAACTTCTCAGGAACATTCATAGTCTGCAAGTCCTTTTACGGCATCGTTATAACCCCTACCCTGCTTTTTTCACTTTCTCTTCGAGGAAAGGGTAAATATGGGCCTCTTTACACCCTTCATACTACGCACTTAAAAGCAAAATTTCCCATTATTATCATTTTTATAACTTTTTTCAGACCCTCTTCTTTCCATTTATGCCCAAAATAACCCCATTCTACTCCATAAACACCCCAAAGATTTTTTAAGAAAAAAACCTCTATTTTTAAACTGGAACTACTTGAGTGGTCAATGAAATAGGGGTAGTCTGTAACCAAATGTCACGTGCAGTTTGACGAGCCCGATCTAAATTATAACAAAATAAATATTTGCGCTCGCCATAATGATCGCACCGTCAACATATTACATTCGAGATTGTTTTCCGACCCCTGACGGAAATCAACCACAACAAAGACATTCCAGAATATCTTAGTTTTGTTAAAGTATATCGATACTTTAATAAGAAAGATAACTCTTCATGACATAATTTAATGTTTATTATTCCTTTACATATTTGACAAATTGAAGTGTCTATTCTGCCAAGCAAGCAATGCTATACTCCTAATTTGTAGTATATACGTTCAGTATCCAGGTGCACATTCGACATGCCAATTCAATCCAGTGTTTTAAAATACCGTTAAAACCCATTTTTATAAATTAGCTTTTGACTAAATTTTTTTTTAGATTTATCTATCTAGAATGATTTTTGGAGTTGAACTATGTTCAATCTCCCTTGGTCATCACGCATTTAACATGCGCAGTAATTTTTGTTGATAATGGCCGTTTTCGAACCCGATATAGTATAACTGGAGTGACGTAATTTTTCTACCATAGTTCTACCAACGGAAACACGAGGTTAGAACTATGGTAGAAAAATTACATCACTCCAGTTAAACTATATTGGGTTCGATGTTACTCTAGTTCAACAACAGTTACTCAAGTTCATGATCGAAGTCAGCCTATATAGAGCCGAAAGCAAGGCTACTGTGTCGACCGATTTACTCCGATGATATTCAACAGAAAACATGCATGAACATCCGCCACAAATAGTTCATGTCATTTTCTCCTGAATTGATCTAATTTTTATAATTTGACATGTAAGTAAATGTAATGATAAAGTAAACTTATTTTGAATATTACGCTCGTAGATTTCGTTCAGAGTAAAACTAAATTATAAAGAACCTCAAAGCGTCATCTATAAACACTGAAAGAGGTACGAACGACAACTCTACATACTGACGGTAAGCGATAAATCTAGTCCGCCCGACTCCCGACGGTCCCGGATTTTGGATTTTTAGCAATTTCTTTTTTACCAGTGCACAGAATGTATTCTTTTCATGAACATTTTCTTGGTTTGGATGAATTCATTAATGTATAAAAACTTTAGAAAACATGCGTATTTATTACTAAATCAGCAGTATCACCTGCCAAAAGCGGTAAATCTAGTACTCTGTTATAAATGTTAAAACCAAAAACGGACACCGATGTTTTCGTAGAATCGCGATTACAAACAACAAAATGAAGTATATATTTTTTTCTAAATAAAAGGAAAACCTCATTTTCATACCAGATAATTTTTACGCACACAGACTCTCACATATACTACTGTTTTTAGGTTTGGTAATTAAATATTTTTTTAACTTGGTATTGCTTGCATGTTTCTTCACAATATTAAAAAAAAAAGTTCTGACGTACTCCATGTATAATGTTGACTTCGTGTAATTGAAATACATTGATATTCACAGAGAAGTTTTATATAACAAACCTCTTAGCTCTTAAAAGGATGCTGTGTGTAAATCCACATTTTATCAACATTGATATCATTCCTGTTAAACTGAAATTTTCATAACACATGGGTAAAGGTGCCAAGGAAATATATATTACAAATCTAAAGATGAACTAGAGGTACTTTGAGCAGTTAATTATATAAATGATCAACCGCCTCTAATATGAATATAATGGCAGTGTCCATGTTTTGCAATGGGAAACCCAAAATATGTGTAGGATGAAAATTTAAAGTAAAAGAAGGTGCACAACGGCAATACGTAATAAAGATTCTATGAAAATTTCATTCAGTGGTGCAAGAGGAGTTGTGGCTAAGAGATGGGTATATCTATAGCGTAACAAACAGATGGACGGACATCCCGATTAATAGATACCCTACCGCTTTTCAACTAGGGGGTATAAAAAAAGGACTAATGAAGCCAGGCAAGCATTATGGCCCATGCATTTTCTTGCTATTCAATGTCTCTGAATGTCTTTCTCAATATTGTTGCAACACAAAAAATCGTACACAGTTGTCTGTATTTGAAATAATACTAGTAATACTCTTCACTCACTTAAAGCCCCGTGGGGATCCGGGTCAGAATAGGTCCTCAGTACCCCCTTACATGTCGTAAAAGGCGACTAAATGGGGCGGTCTTTCGGATGAGACCGTACAAACCGAGGCCCCGTGTCACAGCAGGTGTGGCACGATAAATATCCCTCCCTGCTCAAAGGCTCTGAGTGCCGAGCATAGGCCTAAATTTGCAGCCTTTCACCGGCAATGGTGACGTCTCCATATCAGTGAAATAATCTGGAGAGGGACGTTAAACAGTATACAATCAATCAATCACTCACTTAACCTCCCGATCACATATTTTATTTTACTCCATGTTCAACTCCCATGAGTACTTTCAGTACTTTGATTTTAAACGTGGGATATAATCTTATACAATTCTCCCACTATACTTGGTGAACATTATTCAAGTTATCAATTTCAATATAAATCTATGATAAGTATTGCTGATTTCTGAAAAAAAAGCTCGTTGTTTATTTACATGAATCCTTATAACCGTATGTTTAGGGAGACAGATCGGTGCAGGTTTATCAATCAAGTATTATTTCCTCCTTTTGTCATTCAATGCAGTTAATAACTATGAAAATAAAAAAAAAAATCATGAATTCTTTTTAAAGTTGAATGTTAACTAGGACACTTGTTTTTGAAAAAGAAAAATATTACATTCTTTCCTTGGAATTTTAAAAGAAAGTTTGAGTCCTCCGAATGAGGCCTTAAGATCTTTGTTTCCATTTCACGGCAGGGGTTACCGCAGAAAATATCCCTTACTGCTAAATGACCATGAGTGCCGAGTTGAGGTCAATTAAATGATGGCTTTGTCCATCTGAGTAAAAAGTTCTTTAGAGAGAAATTAAAAGATAAATCAAAGTACTCAGAAGTATACAGAGAGCCGGGCTCATTTACAGAGTAGAATGAATTTCTCACATGAATCATACGTTTATACTCTGATGAAAAAATTATTTCAAAACTAGCAATATAAATGATGAGACACTGACAGTGAGTTGATCCTAATACCACGGTCCGATTTTGTCAGAATCTGAATTAATCTGGTACCGCAGCTGAATGTAAACAAACAGCCAGTCTGGTTCCCTCTCCTGCTTTAGCTCGTATGTGTAAAGAACTACGATAACACTGATTATCAAAAATCCTTGCGCTAATGAACTATGTTCTTTGACTTAGGACTGAAGTTTTCAAAGTCATTACTACTAATGTTTTATATGATAAAACTTCGTTTTATTTTTGTTGCTTTATTTAGCGTTTGTATTATCTCAAAAGCGGTTGAGAGTAATAACTATATTTTTACTCGTAACTTTAAAATGGCGACTATGGGGTTGACTTCCTGCCTTGAACAGGATGACATAAGCCGGCAATTGCTCTTTGAGCAATAAGCCCGGCTAAAAACCAATTGATATATAATGAAGACTTTAAAGCAGTGAAAATCTTCGAAAGAGAAGTACAATAACATGTCGTCAATCAATCCTCTGTCAGAAATTTACTTCATAAAACACTAAAATAATAATAAAATTGTCATATCTAAGATAAAGAAGTTTTTTTTTAATATGGAAAATTTACACATATTTAATTTAAAAACATCTTGGTTGTTGCATTTGTTTATTTTGCGATTGACATAACCATTTTCTCAATACGAGTATTGGCACATATATAGTACATTTTAAAGTAAGTAGTACTACGTGTGCACGTCAGGGAAATACTATTGTTTTAGACATCAATATTTTATTCAAGCATTGAACTCATATTTTTGGATGTCATCGGTCCTATTATTCTTGATTAAAATAAGGTAGAGACCGATAGCAATCACGTGATAGAAAGAATTCGAATATTTGCACGTGCTGTATTTCCGGATTCCGCAACGCCGTCAAATAAAAGTCTCCATTTAAACATTATTAATTGTTA